AAACGATGTTGAAAACGTTTGCTCTTCGCTATAGATGATTTTTTTGCCATCCGGTTAGATATTCCTTTTTGAATTGTTTCTGCTTGGTATTTGCTTCGAGGAGTCATTATTTTTCCTCTTTTGATGTCGATCAGTATACTACAATTAACCTACCTTCTGGCAGTACACACTATTGTTACTGATTTTTTAAGGATGATACCAAATATGCGAAAATCAATGACTTGATTAAAATAGAACAAAACAATATTTTCAACGAATTTAAGTACCGTTGTTTTAGTACACAAACCAAATCCGCTTCCTCTTCCTGCTTTAGGTGAGATTAGCGATGTTTGCATAAGCTCTAATTTTAAAGCGTTACTTATATCCGGTGTGTCTCGTATATTAAGGTGGTAATATCGCAAATATGACATTCTCAAGTATGTTGTTTTTGAGCAAATAGTCAAAATAAGCAAAACTTACTGAAATTATATAGGGTGCTCCAGAACTCGCGCCCCAAAGAAAAATGCTATATAGAGTAAGTAACCAGGAACATGGAAAAAATGTTTATGTCTAATGATACTGATGATCTTGTATATGTTTTTTTTTACAATCAACTTTATTTAATAACAGCTTGTTATTAACTACCCGGCTTTTTTTAAATTTCTTAAAATACTAGACTTTAATAACAACTACATCAAAAACTATTAAAATATTGTAAGTATTTTAGACGAAAAGAAAGTAAGTAATCCGGCCCTGTTAAAAATTGACCTGTTTCCTTGGTTTCTCGGTCCGGGTGGGTTCCACTAATTTATGATTTGTTTACCCTCTGGTTTACTCTTAACAATACTGAATTTAACTTAAAAGTAATAAAATATTTAATAGGTCTTAGGAAAACGATTTTTCTATACATCTGGAATATTATTTTATCATAAACAGTACAGTACATTTACGTTCAAGCAGACATTTGCGGTTTAATTTAGATTTTCGTAAGTTTAATTTACAATTAGTAGGTACTTGAACATTGTTTAAATGAATTTAATATTAAATGCACAAACATTCAAAAGCTAGAATGTTTCTTTTCTTCTCATTTTACGAATATTGGCTCAAGGTTTTTTCTCTGGTGCAAAATGCCATTGAATAATAGTCAAAATGCCTAATTCATGACTAAGTCGGATAGAGGTGTGAAAGTAACTTTTTGTGTATCAAGATTTGAATGTGCAAATAATCATCGTATGACATTAGCAGTGTGAAGAATAACAAAGGAATGGGCGTTGGCGTAAAAAAATTTACAGACAGCTTATCGTAGATGATTTAAGAGTTACACATCCCCTGTCTTTCAAACAAACTTTCGCTTTGGAGGCGGAAGAGGAACAACGCATAACGCCTGATTTAAAACGAAAAGAATCAATTGAACGCTTAATTAGACATTCCGTAGCAAAAACATTGTACAGCCAACAATGACTAGTACTTTCACAGAGTCGTTATCTATTACAATTAAATTACTATTCACGTTAACACTGGGTTTTTCAATCAGAAAAGTAATGCGACTAATGTGATTTTCAGCTGTGTGATTGACATTAGTTAGATTTTTGCCTTTTTAAAATATAAATGCATTTCTCTACGTTTTACGCCTGAGAAAATTTTGACTGCTGTAAAAATGAATTTGAAATATTAATTTGAAAAATTGTTTGTTTTGGGCATGGTTGAAAATTAATTTAGTTGTGCGCGCCTTGAACTAGAAACAACATTAAATTTGCATTTTTATACGAAGTGAATTTGTTAAAGGAACATCTTATTAATTATGCTTCACACTTTATCTACGTTTATACCGTGCAACGTCATTTTATGAGACAAGTTGACGGTAAATCATCTCGGTGTGAGAGTAATTTTTATGTAAATCCTCGGAAATACCACTTTATATACATTCAACATTAAAAATTTGCAATGTCAAGCAACAGTGTTTCGGAAATGTTCGTGTCATGAAAGTTAATTAATCAATTAAGTTAACCTCGTTGGAGCAATAACTTCATTCCTGCTCAAAGGAATAAAGTTAATTAATTTTAGGGACGTTGCCTTTCACTTTTTTCTTTATAATTTTAATTTTTATGCTTAATAAAATATAAGCACATACAGGGTGTCCCACGAGTAATAATGAGCCTGAAAATTTTTTTGAAGCAGCCAACATTTCATTTCAAAGATAACGTGGATATTAAAATATTTTGTTTTAATAAATTAAACATAGTGATCAAACAGCATTTGAACTTTAATTTATAGAGAGTCAAACCTTAGAAAATTTGGTGAGAATTATTAAATTGTTAACGAAAAGACCGGCAAGATTCTCATTTATTGAGAATGTTTAAAAAACACTTCGCAGACTAGGTACACGTTTCTATCCCGCGCGATATCCAAATAGGCGGGCTCCCTAAAACTGCAGTAGTCATTTTGACAGACCGAAATTTGTCAAAAATAAAAATACGATTACTATACAGTATGATGAAAAAAAGGCGCCCGTGTTAACCCACACGTTATAAGTGATCTTTTATTAAAGACGAATTCGAAGACCAAAATTGGATTTGTGCTCTTATAAGTAAGATATAGACTTTCCTTTTTAGAAAAGAGAAATCTATATAATTAACAATTTTAAAATAATTTCATTGTTAAAGTCAAGATTTTGATACTGTTGACGGTGTTCTTAAAAAAAATGTGTAAAAAGTCTATTGAAATAAACTTTATTGAAGATGTTTGGATACCATTTCTTGGCTAGAAGAAAATTTATCAATGTTGCAACATTGCAAATATCCTAGGATACAGAAAATGTCCAAGTAATACTCAATTATTGGAAACAGTAGCAACAAAAAAAATCAATTTTCATTGTTGTTTGTTCATTGAAATTTGAACCATTAAAGTCAAAAAGGTTTCCTAGATACGAAAAATACCTGAGTGAAATAGTTTTTTAGTAAAAGAAATTTGTGCAATATTGCCGCTTTGTGCTGTTAGACAAACTGTTTAATTTTTAAAAAGAATCTATTTAGACTATTTTTGGAATGATGGTCACAATGTTTCAATAAAAAAGGACGCGCCTGTTTCAATCGTGGGCGCCTTTTTTTCATCACCCTGTATTTAACTAATTAAAAGGAAATACCGTGCGATCAAAAAAATAATAATTAGAGTAGGCGTCGATTAAATTCTATAGTTGGCAACACATTGGCTGGGAATCTGGGCTGGAAATTTTCCACACAAACTGAAAGTGAAAATGACCATTTACCGTTTTCCACTTGTGTCAGCAATAAAAAATTTCTGCTCTAAAGTGAACATTATTTCACTCAAAATGAATACAACGCAAACTTGTCAAAGTTTCCGCTGACATTTGATGTCAAAAATCAGGATTGCCATCTGAAGGACTTTAATCACCGCCCACTCAAATTTTTTTTTTGACCGCACGGTATTTTAATAGCCACGTTATCATTGAAATGTAATATGTTAGTTGCTTCAAAAAATTTTTCAAGCTCATTATTACTCGTGGGACAGCAGCCTTGTGTTCAAAATGAGTCAAATCGAAATCAAGGTGTCGCAAGAGAAGTTTGTAATTTTATTTACTTTGTAGAAGACGTTTTTTCTTGATTTGATCCTATTCGAGTACCACAAGTTAATGAAGCATTCACCACAATTATAGTAGAAGTATGAGCACTTCGATGATGGTGCTTGACATAAAACTATTTTTGTTTGTTTTATAAAAGTCAACTTGAAGTTATAACTACACGGTTTTAATTATTAGTTTGACCATTGCTTACCTTCTACTTTTTAAGCAAGAGCAGATGCTATTAATTATTTGTTGATTTCCTAACTAATAAAATAGGTTGAGCAGCTTTTGTTATGTAATTATATCTTGAGTATTATTTGTAGCATAACAATTTTCTGTGTGGATTTTTTGAAAAACTGTTATTTCAGCAGAATTTTATGTAACAGGTCAAAAACGTGACAGTTGTTATAATGAATTTTTTGAGAACTTAGTGTCGTAATATATAAAAGTTTGCGTTGAATTTTACAAAGTTTAATTACTTGATAGTGTTTAAAGAAATTAGGTACTAATTGACCCACACAATGTGTTGAATTTTTATTTATTTCTCTAAGTTTGTGTATTGAAAAAAAAATTTTCTTTTGATGTTTATCGCCGGTGTTTAATAATAATAACACGGCATCCCCGACTTGAAATATTGTCACTAAAAGATATTTTTAATTTTTATTTAATTTATATGCGATGACGCTTCATTAAATCATGAATTATTGTTAACGATTAGAATTTTTATTGGTCGCTTGTTATTACCATATTTATTAACTAATTTTTTTCGTTTTCTATCTCTACCATCGTGAAATCTTCTGTGTCCCATAAATGTAAACTGTAGTTCGTTTATAACACCATAAAGTGTAAACGGATGTTTTCTTCTAAGACTTGGAGGAAGAGATGCGCTGTAACGTCATGCATGGATGTCAGAAACGAAAACAGTTATTTGTATTTTATTGTTAGGTTATTCATGATTATTAGTTGTGACAGAGAAAGAAGAGGGAGCATATATTTAATTTATGTTAGTTCAACAAGCGCATATTTTTAGATTTTTATTACACATTTTGTATCGTAAATTCAAAAACAGTTACACAAAAGAATATAATTATTATAATGCAATAGTTATTTTCGAATTTACGTGAGTCGTAAATATGTTTATCAAATTTAATAACCATAATAAACTTTGGCTAGAGTTATGTTTTCATATGTCATATTTCTTGTTACAGATTTAAAAGTGCAGAAATGTGTAATTATTTTACTTGAAATGTGTGAACCAACAACTAATAACAATTGAGACGCAAAGCATTGTAGTGTGAGTATTGTACAAGGTTATTAAGCATTTTGTTATTCATGTGGGATTTCGCCCGTGAATTTGTTAATGTTGTTAATAAGCGAATTTTTTGCCGATTTATTATCTGTGATGATTTAAAATTGACTGAATAGAAATAAAACAAACGAATAAAAAGAATCAGTGTTCAGATTTTATTATTTCTTATATTCACAGTAAAAAAGGCATTATATGTTACTTTATAAATAGAATTTACTTATGGTACGGTCTTTAAAAAATATGAACTGTATTACAAAAGATTGTACAAAAGACAAAGTTGGCAAGTAAATTTGAGAAGATGTAAACAACTTACAACAATAAATATCGAATATAAAAAATATATAAATATTTACAAGTTTACATAGTTTTGAACATACTTAGCTATACAAGTCCTTATATACAGCAACAAGTGTTATACTCCGGGTCGGAGTGTCCGGGGTCCTTGCATTCACTCATTCATCAATTCTCACGTGGCTTTTTGGTCAGTCCAGCCGTCACACTTTCGCGCACACACACCCCCGGCGTTTGACTATCACATCCGGCACTCACATTGCACTCACAGTCTGTATTACGTAGTATCACAATTGGTTGACATTAATTAGGATCACTGTCAAATGTGGATGGCCACTGTCCGGGTTGTGCCGCCTCCAGTACCGCCGTTCCCGGGCGGGTTGGGTGCTTGAGCTCTAGTGCTGTGCCGGTGCACATGATGATGTACGTGGGGACCTCTTATGGAACCCCTAAGTCGTTGGTTGTTGGGCACGTCGGGCAGGGCGAATTTGAGCTTCTCCCAGAAGAGTTTGTCGCCCCACTGCAAGTACACGTTAGTTTTGAGATAGAGCCGAATGTCGGGGTCTAGGTCCTTCTGTGGCACTTCACCCAGGAGCACGACGATTAATCGGCGTCGGCGGTCGCGTAACACCTGATGGTGCGCTGATTTGAACTCGAAACGGCACCACTCCGACTTGATGAAGTTCTCCGAAAGGATCATGATAGTGCGTTTAGAAGATTCTACCGCTTGTACAATGGTGTCGGCCAGGAAGGCCCCTACAGGGAAGTCGCGGTAATGGAGGCAAAGTTTGTAGTTAGGTTCGAGGGCGGGCGCCAACACCTCAGCAACCCACGCCTCGTCCTTTGAACTGTAACTCACGAAAGCGTCGAATAATTTGTCCCTGTCATCGCGATCTAAGTCTGATGACCTCTGGAAAAGGCGAACGCCGAACTTAGAATGTAACCAAACACGCACTTCTTGACGAAAGATGAACAACAGCAGAATCACGATGATCAAAAACGCGAAAACGGCAAGAGTTATCACTAGGAGTGGCAAATAGTCTTGAATTATTTGTCGTTGGATTATAGTTTTTGTCGCTGTCAGGTTACCGTTGACACTGTTATCGATGTTTGGAAGACCCGTACACGCCGTACCGTTTTCTTGGTTCACGTAAAATCCGGTCTCCGGATTATCCGAATAAACGTCTTCACTGTAATAATCGATCTCGGTTGTGTTAAAAACACAACGGACCATCGCGATATCCGATACTACGTCACCTCGCACCATCCACTCGCGAAGTTTTTCCGTAAATTCGCATTCGCAAGACCAGGGGTTATAGGCCAAAGTCACCTCGATCATAGTGGTTGGTAATTGCCATACGTCGTACAGATGCAACCTGTTGTGGTCTAACCTAACTATACGCAGCTGTCGTAGTCCAATAAAAGTGGTGTTGTTTATATGCGTTATACGGTTTTGTTGAAGGAAAATCTCTCGCAGACTTTCCAGATCTTCGAATTCATAACCGTGTAATTCGGCAATTCTGTTCTCGTCCAAGTGAAGGATTTCCAAGTCTTTAAGACCGTTGAACGTACGGTTTTGGATAACTTCAATATTCGAATTATTTACAAATAAAATCTTAAGTCTTTTTCGACCTATAAATGCGTGACTGTTTAACGAACGTAAATCGTTGCCGTCTAAATAAAGTTGAGTTGCATACATCGGGATTTGCTCGGGTAATTTGGAAACATACCCAGCAGAGGAACAATCTACGACGTTAGCTGACCAGGATTGATCGTGGTAGCAGGTACAATTCGTCGGACATGTCATTTCACAATCACACGCGTCAAAATCACAGCAGTGACACAATGCAAAACAGTGCGTTTCATACGTACAAAGGAACTGAAAAGGAGCTGCTTCTACAAGAGGAACATAGGTGCGGCCCCGATTATATAATAATTGGCAGTAAATGCTTTCCAAGTCCACTAATTTCGGTTGATTTCGATTACGATTTCCAATGTTAACTTTTTGCAGCCATTCCATAGTGCAGTCGCATTGATACGGATTACCACCGATGTAAAATTCCGGCAAAGGTTTGTCTGGAGGCACAGAAGAAATCCTGAGGGCATTCGGATCCAAACTTGTAATTTTATTTCCAAATAGATCTACACGAGTTAAGTTCGGTTTTTTGAAAAACGTATAAGACTGTACTTTTGAAATTAAATTGTCGTTGAGAAACAGTACCTCCACACTGTTGGGAATTGCACTTCCGGTGATTTCGGTTAGCTTGTTAGCGCTGGCATCGAATGTGCTCAGAGAGAGGCTTGATTCGATTTCAAAGAAATTGCCCAATTCTTCAATTTGATTGGAGTGGATATCGAGCCATTGCAAGCCGGTTGGTATTAGGGCATAGTCGAACCATTTTAGTTGATTGTCAGAAATATTCAGCCATACCAAACTCGGTAATTTGGTGAATAATTCTTGAATGTCCGTTAGATAATTGCCATCCAAACGAATCGCTTGCAAATTTACGTTTGCGTCGAATGCACCTGCTGCAACTTTTTGTATTTTGTTTCGGGAAAGGTTCAGTATTTTCAGAGCTGTCATTTTATCGAAAACCCCTTTCGATATATTTCCAATGTTATTTTCGGTTAATCGTAAACCGTACATCTGATTCATGTCACGAAAAGTTTCGTTCGTTATAACGTCTATGTGATTCTCTCCCAGATCTAACGTTTTCAGCATGGGTACGTTGTATAACACTTCAGGCACTTGCACTAATTTGTTACCGTTAAGATGGAGGTCTTGTAAACTGGAACAATTCTTCAGTGCTTCTTGATGTATCCATGATATTCTGTTATTATCTAATGACAGTAGTGATAACACGTAAAGTCCATTGAACGTATCACTTTCAATTTTAGTTATCTTATTGTTGGAGATAATTAATGTGTGCAGGTTGTAAAGAGCTGAAAATGTATTTTCAGGTATGTTCTCGATAAAATTATCATTCAAGCGAAGTATTTGGAGACTATACAAGTCACGAAATACTGATTGTTCCAATTTCGTTATTCTGTTATGGGAAATGTCTAGAACTACAAGGCGAACTAGGCCTGCAAAAGTGGCTGCGTTTATCCAATCAGCTGTGAGTTCGTTGTGAGATAAATCCAGTACAAGTAATTGGGTTAACTCACTAAAGAGTCCTGGTGCTAGGACATTTATTGAATTATTTTGTAAATACATTTCTCTGATATCTTTCGTGTCGGAAAATAATTCTGGTGGTAAGCTGACTAATCGGTTGTCGGCTAATTTGAGGACGTTTAGTGCTACTAGTCCTTCGAGTGCACGATCTGCCAAATGTGTGAGTCCGTTTCCTTGAAGGTAGAGCTTTTGAAGACGTGACAGCGCGGAAAATTGGCTGGATGGAAGCCTGTCTATGTTGTTACGTGAAAGATCAAGAAGTCGCAAGTTGAAGCCGCAGCTCTCCGACGGGTTGTGCGCAAACCGAAAACTAGACACCTCGCGTAACCGATTCCGAGTCAAATTGAGCACTTCCAACGCATACAAGGGACACAGCACACCGTCCGGTAAACTCCACATGTTGTTTTCACCGAGATCTAGCCGTTCTAGTAGACGCAACTCGTCCGTGAACGCGTTCGGCGACACTTCCAGGGTCATGGCTGACCAATCCGTGTTATGAGTCCGTACTGTGAGATTGCGGAGCTCTTTCAGACCCCGGAAAGCTCCGTCGGAGAGGTTACCGATCTTGCAATACTCGATGGAAAGCTCCCGGAGTTCGACTAGCGGCTTAAAGCTGCCGGCGCTCAACGAGCTTTGAAAAAACAAAGCGTCGCTGCATTCGAGCCGTAATCTGACAGTGTGCTGGGGCTGGATGACGCTGAAGTTTGTATTTTCCAATTCACTGTTGATTGTTTGCAAGCGACAGACTAGTGCGACGTCGTCTTCGGTACCGCTGTCCACTACCACCCACTTGCATTCGTCTGGCGCCTGGTAGCGTAGCGCCTTGCTCAGGGACGCTGAGAGCACACCGAAGACGGCGCCGAATAACACCGCACACACCACTGTGGTGCCCATAGTTTAAAAGACTAAAAACTACACCATTGTATGCGGACGTAACGATGTCTTCTTGCATACCGTGTCCGTCTCGACCGGTGCTCTGAGCTTGACTGCGGTCCCTCACACAAGGCCACTTATTCCTCACCTCTCCGCCGGTCTTTGCTACTTCTCCCCGCTCTTTACTAATACCGATGCAAGAATAGACAGACTCGGAGGAACATTAAAAAATTGTCAGCAATGCGATTTTCAGGCACCGAGTTTTCTGTTTGACCGCCCGTTGAAATCACCAAATTTATTTTTTTTAATTAACACGTTTTTCAGTTTGCTTCTCTCCCGCGAAGACTTATTAGCAAATTGTTAAGACATTTATTGGAGTGATCGAATTGTAAATACCTTAGCTAATTAGTTCACCATCTTGGACCAAATCTAATTAAAAGTAACGAGTGAATCTTTTAATAGGAGATATGACACGCCGGTGTTGTAGAATATCAATCATCTGGTAGGTAGGTACATGATTAGGCTATGTATAGAGTGGGTGGAGATTTAAATGGTAGGTTAGAAAACGGTTTGGCGATTGTCGCCAATTAAAAATTTTGTTAAATGCGAATTAGGACTTATTTTTTTATGCCAGATTCGCATTTTTAAATATTATTATTTAACCAAACTAAAATTAAGCAAGATTGTCGCAAAAGTTGTTCAGCGGGATACGGTAATAAACAACAGCGAACTCGAAGCGATGCGCGTTATTGCCCAATTAATAACGAGCTTCAAGAATCTCACAACACGAAAAAGCCATCTTTTAAAGAATATTAAAACATCCCTGTGTTAAATAAAACAAATAAATAGGTGCTAGTTAAGATACCTGTAATGGATGATAATATTTCAATGCGGACCGCTCCTGGCCTATAATAGCCTGCCACCAGGAGATTTTCTAATTTTCTTCTATTGGCATTGCGGAGAAATTGATTAGACAGATTGAAATTCTCGTTGCAACAAGTTTCGATATCAGTAGTTGAGATAACGTCAAGTGAAGTGAAGGTAACAACGTCCTAATGAACGACTCTTGATGGGAAATTTCAACGCGACTGATCGACTTTGCCGCCGATGTTGTACCTGCAATATTGGTGGAAGAAACGTAAATTGATGGCAGTTGAACTTTATTTGCATTTTTGTGCGGCAGTTTCGATAAAAGTCTGCCAACATTTAATTATTTGGCCATCGTGGAAATTCCTTGCGCCTGGGAGCCAATTTATTCTTGTTGCTTTTAAGGCGATTTTTTTCGCAAGGTATTTAACACTTACATATAAGCAACCACGTACCGGTATTAATTTTGTTAAGCAGAACGATTTACAACGGCCCGGTTCGAAGAGAATGACTTCGAACGGAATGTTAGTCCATAAAAATGAAATAACTAATGCATATAAAGAGACTGAATATAGTAATTTAATTTGCTTTTTGGTTGCAGGTAAGCAGAAGAGAGGTTTTTGTCCTCAACCAGACGGCATAATGTTCGGGCGCGATGGGTAAGTTTTATTTGAAACTTGTTTACCACTTGAATCACGATTGCTGTTTCTGGGCTTTGTGCGTTTTTTGATTTAGGAACGTTTTATACCATGGGGGAGCATTTTTCTGTTCTTACTTCTGCTTGTAACTTGTGCTGGTAGATACATGCCTACACTTTATACTGCCCACTCTTATATATTTAATGACATATAATGGCCACCAAAAAGTATTTATAAAAATTGCAAGTGTTTTATTATAGCGAGTTGCGCTAAGGGAGGAAATGTTGAATAGCCAACATCCTTTCGTTTTTTATACAATGGAGCGGCATTATATTAGTAAAGCAAAGGCAGCTGTCGGTTTTTGGAACACGTCCTAGTCCTTTTTATGACCCAAACCTGTAGTCAAATACCTCCTTTCACGGCCCGTTATCAACCATTATCTTACCAATTATGACCCATTTCTTGTATATTTATTTTTTTATTGAGTGAGAAGGACACCCACGAACTAGGGTGGTGATATTTACACGAAGAAGCTTATTTAAATTTTAAAGTTTCTCTTGGAAATTCGTGTAAGCAAACAAGTCAGGTAGTAGCGATTGTCGTGTAATGCGTGCATAATGGGTCGGCTTGTTTGATGATGACCAAACCAACAAATGGTCGAGGGTGTTGACGGTTTTTTTCATTTGATCATTACACACGATCTTTCATACCAACAGAGTGAAAATGATGAATTTGTTTATTGTGAGAATTGCGTGACTTATATTTTACTGGAAATATAACACTTCTTTGTGTGTTTGCATGTAAGCAAACATTACGAGTTCTTTGACTGACTTCTTTTGTAAACGGATATGGCCTACCTGTTCTTTGCTGTGTGTACACTTAGGAAGAGCAATAAATTACCAGAAGTCGTCGCCGTTGACGCTTTACCCATTGCTAACTTATGGTTTTTGAAGTGACATTTGAAGATTTACCAACGTCTGACCAAAGAAACATTTGTTTCGATAGCTGCTAAACTACAAACAGGTGGGGTTGGTGAATAGGTAGTGATTTTACTGGATTTGCTATATTTTCGTTGAAAGCTTTAATGCACTTTTACTAGAATGAATTTCACTTTTCAAAAATGTTACATCATCTTGCAGTTGTCAAATGGTATAATTTTGTAATCTCTTTGATGGTGACACAGTTGATAGTTATCGTTATGTATAGATATGAGGACTTTAATTAACGATATTGTGAAACCGATTGCTGTTCCGATCTGTTGTAATCGACGCTATTTATATTTTATCGTCGGCAAAGCTCTTCAGAAACGTATGGGTTTGATACAGAATGGCCCAATTAAAATTAATTTAACGTTATCTATTGATATTTTAAACTTATCGATTCATCCAGGAATCGTCATTAACTTGACTTATATGGTGAAAGAATTTTCTTAATTATCAACAACGTCTTACAAAAACGAAAAATTTGCACTGTTTAGAAACAGAAAAGTTGAACCATTTACAGCTGAGCACCCGTGGAGGAACCCCCGGTTGGTCAATAACTCACCACCGGTGCTGGATGATTACATCCAAATTATCATTCCAACAAGTGTCCGTTCAGACATTTGCATATTATTAAGTATCCGTGGCGCAGAGCTGGAGTTAATTAGTTGTAGCACTTTTGATGGTCAGTTTTTGAATCTAATATCAACAATTTATGATGTTTGTGTCGGCCCAAAACTCCAGTTGGAGAGATAATCGCGGTCAATTTAAAAATTTTGTGAGACTGATAAAACTTGTGTTTTGTGTTTTTAAAGTCGTGCATGACTGGTAATTTGTATATAGAGTAGCGACTTTAAGTCTCTTGTTATCATATTAGAAGCTTAATTTATTAGAATCAGCGAAAAGAGTTAATTCTCAACGAGGGATTGATGAGATAGATCTATGGGACTTATCTTTGAAATGGTTATTATGATGATAATGTTCTTTATTTCGTTCGAATAGTAAGTGAATACATAAGAGGTGCGGTAATTACGTGCCATTTACGCAGTAGCTTCATGAGTCTGCGTATGCAGGCGCCTAGTAGGTGGTAATGTAACCATTGCAAATGTTATGATCGAACGTCAGCTGTACAAATGGGCCCGCATGCATCATTATCGACGAAACACGTTACTTATTCAAGAGAGCCGTCAAATTCGAATCGAACCATCACTCTTATCCCATAAGGGTGCGAACTAAAAAGACGAAAAACCTTGTTATAAATCGACTTCTATTAACACGAAATTTTCCGTGTAGAAAGTAATCGCCTTCGGTTGGAACGTTTCCTTTCGTTTTGCCGTAAATTTCATTAAAACAATTAATTTTTTGAGATAGTCAGCCGCCGTGACCGCTCCAAATTTAGACAAATTATCTACCTATCCGGTGACTGGCCCAGTCGGCGGCGAGTCCATCATCTAACCGTGACATTGAATTCATGACACTACCAATATAAACAAAGGTTTCACCTGGCGACCGCGATACGCGCAACTGGATGTTTATCGGATGAACTGATTGTTCTGCGTGATGAAAGGAAGACCGCAGAGAAATTGAGGGTAACATGTACGATGAGTGCCGGCAAAAAGTTATCTATCGCTTCATGGTCTTAGTTTAAAACATCATTATTTCATCGTGAAACATGTTTTACTCTCATGCCAATGCTGTATGACAATTTTATTGCTAATTAGTCTCATCTGATACTAAAACTGCTATCAGATTAATATATTAAGCTTAGTTATTTTACAGATTGTTGTAATTTTATGATGTTGATTGAAATTTTATATCTTCAATTTTCTTAGATTGTGCTGCTCTCTATGTATATGTATTATGAAATTGAAACGCGTCGAAAATACAGATATTATAATAATGTTGCAAAGAATTTTGTTTTTGGAAAAAAATTAAACGCTAAGTTATTAAACTAAATGCTAAGTACATTTGGTAAGTGAAAATATTAAAGGCTAGGTGAACATACTAAACACTAAAACAAATTACTAAGCGCTAGAGAATGAAGATAATGAAGTTTTATTATAAACTAAACAATAACAAAAGTAAATTAAAAAAAAAAGTGGCCATTGCTGGGGAATGGTGAAAACAGGCATGAAGAGTCTTTTAACCTAGAGAATGATGTGTTTTTATTGCAGTAGTAACAATATAAAAAATGTATACCTCTCAATTATTGTAGCTAGTTGTTTAGTAATGAAGTGTCACCATATTTAATAATAATAAATACTAATAATACATATACATATGTAAGTAGATATAGGATTGTTCAGTGAGTGACTTTGAGTGCTTAATACCTACCTTAAAAGATAAAAATTTGTTCCATATTTTTTACACACAGCACATATAGTATTAATACTTAGCATTCCTACTTAGCATCAAGATTATTTCATTTAGCATTTAGAATATTTCACTTAGCAAATCAGTATTATTTACTTTATTACTAGCTTTTGTTTTTTATAAACCAGTGACAGTCAGCAAGGATTTTATCATCCCTACTTTAAACTACAATAGTTGCGTAAATTCTTTATTAAATTTATCAGATGTAATTTTTCTTGAAATCTTATTCAAAAAACAAAACTCATT